AAAAATGAACTTCATCAAAAGTAAACACATTTGTTCATCTAAAAGATTTTAAGAAAAGGATTAGGCAAGACACAGACAAGGTGAAAGTATTTGCAATAAGTACATCTGACAAAGGACTTGTATCCAGAATATGGAAACAACTCAATAATAAGGCAACCCAATTTTAAAATAGGCATAAAACCTGAACAGACATTTCAGATAGGGAGATATACAAATAGTCAATAAGCATATGAAAAATGTGCCAGATCATTAGTCATCAAGAAAATGCAAATGATATCAGGAAAGGCCACACTCTATAGAATTTAAATTTAAATTGTCAAATTAAAAAAAACTGGAAACTCCAAATTTTAGCAAATATCAGAGCAACTGAAACTTTTCTGTCTTGCTGGTAGGAATGCAAAATGGTGCAGTTCCTTTGGAATATAATTGGGCAGTTATTTATAAAGTTGAGCATTTACTCACCATTAACCCAGCAATTCCAAATGTAAGTTTGAAAAGGATTTTTAGAATATGTTTATAGCAGCTTTATATATAAACAGCCCCAGATTGGAAATAGCCCAAATATCCATTAGTAGAAGAATGGATAAACGAATTGTGATATATCCATATAATAAGATATTGTCAATAAAAATCCTAATTCGTGGACGAATCTCAAAAGCATGATATAATACCATGGGAATTTATAATCATCTTAATAAAAATTTCAATTAAGAATCTGAAGATAAAGAAGTCAGATGCAAAAGAGTACATACTGTATGCTATTTCATTTACATGAAGTTTTAGAAAAGACAAAGTAATTTATGTTGAGAAATATCAGAACACTGTAGCCCTAAGATGGGAAGGAAGTTGACTAGAATGTAGCATTGGAAACTTTCTGGGAAGTTTTTCTACTTCTTGATTGGCATGCTGGTTCTACATTGTTGAAACTCATAAAACTGTACACTTGAAATTTGTACATTCTATGTGTAAATTATATTTTAATAAGAAAAGAGAGGTTTACATCTCTCTCTAATTTTCAAGTTAGATTTTTTTTTCCATTAACTACATATAAGACCCAGCTCTTTATGTGGGAAACCTCATATTAGAAATCTATATATTTGGAAGTCAATTTATCTTCTTCCCTTCTCCCTTTGTTTCTCCCCCTTACCCCCTTTCTTCTTCCTTTTGAAAACCGTAGGAGTGTGAGAGAAAGTGGGTGACCATTGCAAGCAAAGGTGTAACTGAACACTTGTATCAGAATGTTCTGTCACTTAGACCTTGTGCAGACCTATAATTTGAATGTGTGACTCTAGAAATGGTTGCTATGGTGATAAATCACTTTACTTAAATAGCATATATTTTACTCAAAATTCAGAGAAATAGTAACAGTTTCTGGTAATCATGCACTGGTATTAGCTTTCAGGGATGTGCCTGGAGCTTACACGTTTCCCATCCATTATCATCAGAGGAGTTCATCAGGTTAAAGTTATGCCAGTGAATAATGAACTATGTATACTTCGCCCAGTTTTCTTGTTACATATCTCCCCTTGACACATGCTGCCCCCTTTTCACGATGAGTAATGTGAGCTGGAGAAATCAGGCCCAGGATGCTGAATTACTAAAAGATGGAACTGAAGGGAACCTTGTAAGGTTATCTTTTCTCTCATTCTGCCTCCGGTAGGACTGACTGTTCTTACAGTCCGAATGGTAAAACTGTCAAGGTGAGGAACAATAGAAATGCCACTTAGGGCAGCCCTGTGTCACCTCCTCCTGCAGCTCTCAGAGATGCTGTCCAGCTCCTGTGCTGAAATCCTCTCTTTCTCCAGTTTATAGACTGTGATTATAGAGATGCTCCAATTCTTTATATTTTTAGACTGAAGGACTCTCTTTTCAAGAATCCTCCACTGTTAATCATATTAGTAGCCTGTCTGTAAACATTCTTGCTCTTTACTCTGTTCAAGCTGGTTGAAGTGTTTCAGGTATGAATTCTTCACAATTTTGCATAAGGATAGAAGGATTATTTTTTTCTTTGATTTTGAAGATGTTTGCTGATGACAGCCAGGTTTTCTTGGTCACTGTGCAATACCTTTGGAGAATGGTCTACACTGATTTTTATTTTTATTTTTTAAAATATTTTTATTGATTTTTTTATAGAGAGAAAAGGAGAAGGATAGAGAGTTAGAAACATTGATGAGAGAGAAACATCGATCAGCTGCCTCTTGCATACGCCTTACTGGGAATGTGCCCACAACCAAGGTACATGCCCTTGACCGGAATCGAACCTGGGACCCTTCAGTCCACAGGCCGACACTGAACCAAACTGGTTAGGGCTACACTGATTTTTAGATCCTCTTTCTTGGATTAATAATGATGGCCAACAGCTTCATAATGGTCATTTAGAGCTTTTCCCCCTGGAACTGAATATTGAAGTTTCTCCCCCGCCTTTCTCCCCCTTTGCACAATCATATGGGAGCACGTCGCCTTCTGTTTGCCTTTCATGACCTGGAAGATCTTAGTGACTCCAGTATACAGCCGTGGCAGTTGCACTTTTCATTTCTCTATAAAACTTTTAGATAGTATCAGTGACAGCATAGATCTCTGAGGAATTCCATTGAGTATGAGAAAAGAAAAAGAGAAACCTTAAATTTAGATATTCTATAACTTAAAATCTGTATCCCCGAAAAATTAAGGTTTGTTCATGTTTCCAGAGAAAAGACTGGGAGCTAGAATTCACCTTGGCTCTTTGTGTTCCAAGGGGATGAGAGACCTGGCTCCTGGCGAAGGAAGTTTAAGCTCTGCCGGAAGGGCTGTGTGAGGGCCAGCCTGGTCCATGTTTTGTTGGCATCAGAATGGTTTCTGATGCTTTGTTGGGATCAGAATGTTTTGTTGGCATCAGAATGGTTAAAAGGGGAGATTCTCAGTCTTTAGGAAAGCTCTTAGGATTCTGCTTCCTAAACTTAATGCCCCTGTAAATTAGCAAAGCGAAATGGCAAAGTATGCACACATATAATATTTGACAAGATGCACCCATATACACAGAAGTTTGTAAGTATTTACATTTGCGTAAAGATAAGTAGATTTGCACCGATGTAACCAGGGAGCAAAGGAACACATGTTGCAATATGTTTCTGTGCAGCCAGTTTTAGGCCGACTTAGGAGCTCAATTAAAATATGGTTGACATTAGTTTTAACATGCACTAAACACCAGAAAGAAAACAGGCAATCATATGTTGCTGGTTAAGAGCATTAGTTTAATGACTCAAGTACATTAATTAACAAATGGAAGCGTAAAGAATAGGACTCTGAATGCATTCAAAAGAGCCGGACTGAGTCTCTCTTCCTGTGCTCTATTGGTTGTGGCGGACAGGCTGAAAAACATTTCCTCAAGGACTTGGATGGTCACTCAAGAAGTGGAAATGTCAAAAGAGAGAGGGTTACTCTTAGATTCACCTTTTAATGGGATTTGTATGTCAAGTGAATTAAATTTTTATGAATTGAAACTTCCATGATAGGTTTCATGTCTTAGGGACCAGGACTGTACTAGACAAAGCTACTTACCTTCAACCAGACACTGAGACACCTGCGTGCTGTCCTCTCAGCCTATTGCTGAGCAGAAGAGCTTTCGGTGACAGGGTGGATTCAACCTATAGGACTGAACGCTAATGAAGTATCTTCTGTTTCTCAAAACACTTCACAGAGAAGCAGCCCAGGAATTTTCTGGGGGAAAAACATTTATGAAAAGAAGGACCTGTTTACATTTCCAAATTTATACAAATTAGTTTCCCCATGAACAGGAGTTAGCATGCACTGTTGCATAGTCACACATGAGCAGTGCTCTGAAGCACATATTTGAGGGCTCTCTGCAATAAGCAAACACCAGGTAAATTTTCTGTTCCTAAAATACAGGTACCAATGATTGTTACATGACCCGTAGCTGTGCTGTGGCCCTGGGAGGCCACTTACTCCTTGACAAGTGCTCCCACTGTGTGTAGGACATGGCCACATGGATCACAGGAGCCTGAGTGATCAAACACCAGGTTTACTTGTTTGGTGTGATGTGTGATCTGTGCTTTGAAAATTGCTAGCCTGATTATTAACTTGTGTGTCCACTAACTTTCAGTTAACCAGAGAACTAAACCTACGCGCGCAGCCCTCTATGCCCCTCAATCATCCTGTGCATACGAGAGCCTGCTGTATCGCAGCCTATGTCTTGTCCCCATCCTGCTGTGTGGGTCCCCTGAGGCAGGCTCCGCTCCTTTAAAACTCCGTGCTCTGCTCCATTTAATTCGAAGTGACCACTTTAAAAACGGGTCTAAGGTAAAAATGGACTCTGCTTCCCTCCTGACAGGACTAGAGGCTGTTTCCTCTACGGTGGGGTGAGGTGACCTGAGAAGGTTTAATGGCCTGTTAAAATGGGTTCTACTTGTTTTATGCTTTGAAGTTACGATGTACTTTCCCAGCCACCACCTCTTTCGTTCTCATAATAAACCCATAGAGTAAGGGTGCAAATGAGGCATCAAGGCTCCAAGAGGTCTACACATCCGCCCCGATGGTGTGGCTGGGGTTGGAGGCCAGTGCCTGGAATCAGTGCCGAGGACGGAGAGAACGTGAGGAGCGAGCCCTAGGCGGCAGCACTATACCCAGGTCGGAAAGAGCCGTCGCGGTGGGCTTGTCCGGCACCCACACCAACACCGCAGCTTGTCTGGAAATCTGAAGATGACCCAGTACAGCCTTCCAAGCGGACTTCCCTGTGCAAAGGTCCCCATATACTTGCTTTAACTTCGCGTGGCAGAGGATGGGAAATTGTACCTTGAGTTTGCTCTACACCAAACACTGAACAATTCCGCTTTCTTGAAGGTGCTAACGGAGCTTTCTCTGGCAATTTCACAATGTGTTTAGTCTATATGTCATGTCTGGTCAGTATTCAGCTTGAATACTGGACAGTTCTGTAATTCCTTGCTTCTTTGAATTGATGAACGTTACTTTGTGTCTGAAAATTAATCCAGGCATTTTATTTCTAGCCCACCGCTCGTAAAAAGAAAGTTCCTGCGACCAGTAAGAAGGGAAATGTGGACAACTTGGACATGGGCAGTTCAAATTCCACACCTTACAGACCTCCTAAAGCTGGAATCAAGGGAGAATCAGACAAATCCTCTGTGCCTTCAAGCCCAGGAACAACAACCAAATACACTTCTAAGACCATGGCCCTGCCTAGAACCAAAAAGAAACCCTAAGGTTCCCTCCGACGCTGAACAGTACAAAGTCAGAGCTGCTCTTTCTGGTGCTAAAACGGGAGAGGAGGCGGAAAGGGCAGCTCTATGTGATCGTTTAGCCTTGAGCCCTGCAGTGTGCCTGCATCAGTTTGGAATCCACGCCAGTTACCCCCAGGCCGGCGGTGGAGAAGGAGAGCCAGCAGCAGGCTTGATGGCGGGGCTGAGGCTGAGATCCACGCAAGGTGTTTTCCAGGTTTGTTTGGAGGAGCAGATGCCCTCAGAGCAAGGCTGCGGGCGTACTTGCTCAGTTTCACTTCTCATTCTTAGATTTCAGCACAGTGATCTACAGGGAAAATGAGAACCAAACATGGTAAAGGAGGTCCCTAATGCTTCTGTGCACTTTGCACTAGGAGATTTGTTAGGAAATTACTAATAAACTTAGCATAGGCATCACAGCAGAAGTGCTCCGGCCATTCATGTGTGTCCTTGTGATCGTAGGTCACTATCGATTGTATAAGACAATTTAAATGTAGAAAAATAGGAGATTTTGTAACTGCTTGCCATTAACTTGCTGCTAAATTCCCAATGTATTGATTGAATCAATAAAAAAAAAAAAAAGATACTACCCATGTACATTAATTTTTATGTTAAGAAGTGAATGTCGCCAAAACTGATTTGGCTCAGTGGGTAGAACATCGACTTGCGGACTAAAGGGTCCTGAGTTCGATTCTGGTCAAGGGCATGTACCTTGGTTGCGGGCACATCCCTAGTGGGGGGTGTGCAGGAGGCAGCTGATCGATGTTTCTCTCTCATCCATGTTTCTGACTCTCTGTCCCTCTCTCTTCCTCTCTGTAAAAAACCAATAAAAAATATATATATATTTTTTTTAAAAAGAAGTGAATATCGTAAGGTTCTCTAAACCCTTTTGCAAATTATGAGCTTGGTTCACTGCTGCAGGGGAGGTACGCATCTTTGGGGAAAGCATGAGGGGGGTGCAGGGGGAAGTACATCATTATTCTTAGTATTATATTACGGGTTTCTTTTTCTGTTATACCTGGGCAGATAATTTTGCCATTTCAGGTCAAACTGAGTGAGTAGATGCCTCGCTTGGCCTTCCAAATAAATTCTAAAGAAACAGTTTGCATTGGTTTTTATCTTTATAAAGCAGTAACCTAGTTTCCTTCCATTCCCTCCTTCCCAGTAGGATTGCCATTTAGACCTCCAGAATGACCCATATCTGGCCAGCTGAGCTTATACTAGTTGCATATAAATCCACTCAGTGGCTGAAGGTAGTAGACGTGCTTCTTGCCATTAACTTGGAAGATGCTGTCATGCTTCTGAAGGAGCCAAAGATAACCCTGACCTCTGTTGCCCTTGGCTGAGTAGTGCTGCCACTGTTTTCCTAGTGCCTTGATGTGCTTCCCCTGGGGACATCCACAACTTGCACTTACCTAGTCTGAATGGTCTAGGCCAGTGGTAGGCATTAGCCAACAGAGCCAAATATCAACAGTACAATGACTGAAGTTTCTTTTGAGAGCCAAATTTTTTAAACTTAAACTTCTTCTAACCCACTTCTTTAAAATAGACTAGCCCAGGCCATGGCATTTTGTGGAAGAGCCACACTTAACGGACCAAAGAGCTGCAGTTTGCCGACCATGGGTCTAGACTTAAGAATGGAGTTGTCATAGCTGCTTCGAGGTCTTTCTCCCTTACTGATTGTCTGATTGTTGCTCTGAGTCCTATCAGGAGCCCGTAGCCTTCTCTCCAGGTTTGGGGAGCCAGTCTTTGAGGAGCATGGCTGCTTCCTGCCAAGAAGCGGCCTCTGTGGTTGGTTTTCCTTCCCTTCCAGTGCTCCTGTCGGCAGGGGGGTTGCTGAAAAGGCAACCAAGACATCGGCTTGGATTCTGTCCCTCCACTGGGCCTGCAAATAGAACATCCCCTGTTTGCAAAATGCTCTTATAACTTCTATAGCATGACACAGTCTTTTGTATCATGGAGCATCCTGTTGTTAAATTGAGTGCTATCCAAAGTTCTATCCACGACGAAACCAATTTGGCTCAGTGGTAGAGCGTCAGCCTGTGGGCTTAAAGGTCCCAGGTTGGATTCCGGTCAAAGGCATTTACCTTGGTTGTGGGCACATCCCCAGTAGGGGGTGAGCAAGAGGCAGCTGATGGATGATTCTCTCTCATCGATGTTTCTAACTCTATCCCTCTCTCTTCCTCTCTGTAAAAAATCAATAAAATATATTTTAAAAACAACAAAAATCATAAAGAAAAACAAAGTTCTATCCACATTTCTCTTTGGTCTTAAATGAGTGATTCCACTCAGTAAGCTGAGCAGAGGTCCAAACTGAGCACGAGGTGAAAGATGAAGTCATTTTATACTCAGTTAGTGTGTCTGTACCCTTTCCCACCCCAGCACCAGGCCCGGCCAGGCCAGCCGTCTTTCTACCAGAAAGAGGCATTGGTTTAGCTCTCCCCTGTCTAGGCCATCTTTTTATTTATGTAGACTCCTTTGGATAGAAACTCAGCTCGCTTTTTCTAAAGGGAATGCTCAGATTATTTTTATTTATTTACTTGTGTGGAATACACCTGGGCCAGGCCGTGTCTGAGCTCTTTTTTTTCCCAGCTGTTGTACCTCTTCCATGTCTGGGCTGTATTGCCTTGCTTTCTTCGTCTGCTGTCCTGGCCTTGAAAGAAGCGGTCTTCTGATTCGGATTGGTTTTCAGTGACCGCATGGCAGCTCCAAGGTATTGATGGCAATCACGCTGACATTTGTGCCCTCAGCATGGAGGCCAGGGGGACACTCTCTAGGACAGCACAGCACGGTATGGATGTTATTTCCAAGGAATGCAAGTGCTGATCAACATTCTGACTTAAAAATAACAGACAAGTCAAGGCAGGAGGCCTGTGATAAAGGGAGACGTTCAGCTGAGAACAGAAGATGATATCAGACAAGGGCTTAAATCAAAGAAAGGAAAATGGGGTGGGGTGAAAAGAAAACAGTGTGTGTGCAATTAATGAGAACACTGATTGGATGCCGACACAGGGTTCTGCCGAGCCCGGAAGCAGGAGCTGGAGGCGGGGAGCACGGTTCCTGGCGGTGGGACTGGCCCCTCCGTGGCCTGCACAGGAGCACACCCGGAGGAAGACGGGCCGGAGAGCAGAGGCTCAGGGAAGTGGGCGCTGAGAAAGGCTGCGGTTTTAAGAGTTGGCCATGGAAGAGCCCTTCCATGTTGAAGAGTGTTACATGGTTTTGGGAGGAGGAAAGGAGGAGAAAAAAAAAAAAATCAAACATGTTGTGCTTTTCACTGAAATACTTTGTTTAAATGATTAAATAACTTGATTTCACCCCAAAAATGTAAGTTCCAGGTTAGACGAATCAAAAGCAGCAAGTCTTGAAAACGAAGCTATTTAAATCCCGGCCCAGCTGTTGGAATGGAGGATAAAGGCTTGTTCAAACAGGCATTCCCAGCTGCGGGCCTGGCTCTGAGACGGGCCGAGGAAGTCGTGTGCTCACGCAGACCAAGGAGCTGCAGCCTCTGGGAAGTGACCCTGGGCTGGATGTTGTCCATCTGCCTCTGCAGAGCCCTCTGCCCGCTCTGTTCCCGCCGCCCAGAGAGGCTGGTCTCAGGCCTCCAGCAACAGGCTCCCTCCGCCGCTGGGTTTGCTGGGATTCGGTCCGTGGGAGGCACCAACAGGGCACCCGAGGGCGGAGAGTCGGGTCCAGTTATTGGTTCTCCCAGTACCTTGGTGCCCGGCTGCGCGGAACCCAGTGCATTTCCTTCCGTCTCCCGGTTGTGTCCCCCGCCCCTTTAGACCAGCACCAGGGGTTATAACCTTGGGGTGCTGTGTCTGTCCCTGTGGTTTCCCTAACCTCTCAGTACCTTTATAAATAGCCTCTTTGTTAAACTTTCAACCAGCCCATTTGAGGGTACCATCTGTCTCCTCCTGCAACCCAGTGTGATCTAGACTAGGGGTGTCGAACTCAATCAGAGAAGGGGCCAAAATCTAAAATCCAGCCTAAATCGCGGGCTGAATGGTTTACTGAACAGTCATAAACTGTCATTGTGATGGAAACGCAGCGGAGTGCAGTGATGACAGCGCGGTGCAGGCCACATTGCAAGGCCTGGCGGGACGGATTTGGCCCGCGGGCCTTGTGTTTGATACATGTGATCTAGACCCTTTGCTCATCAATTCAGCATTGCTCTTGACCTGGGCCACGTTGGTCAGTGGTTGCCAATCCCATCCAAAGGCCAGCAAAGAGCCTCGATGAGTTCTTCCTGAAATAAGCTGATGCACCACGTGGTCACTAGGGGCTGAGGGAGGGGTTGTTTGGGGAAAAGGTCTTGGAGTTGGTGCCTCTGTGGAGCAAGGTGAGTCTAACACTGCCGGATCGGGTCTGAAATTGTAGCCCAGGAGCTTGTGTTTAGGTCTTAAATCCCGGCCTTGGGAGCCTAAAGAAAGCAGCTCGTCACAGTCCAGAGGGCCCAGGGGCCGGGCTGGGGGCTGCCCTGCTGGCTCCGGGCCAGACTGGGGGTGTGGCCGAGGCGTCCAGGGGGACGTGGCACCAGGAAGCAGGGGTGTCTACCAGGCTGTGCGTTCCTTTCATCTCTACACGCGCTAAAACCCGCTCACAAAGCGTTTAAAGTGAAATTTCCCCTCTTCAAAGGTCTCTCCATAGTTCAGTTTTACTCTTCAGGATCCTCTATTTCTCTGAGTGCGCCGCCTTAGAATTGGTTTTGATTTCTACTCGGCGCATTGTTATCACTTAATTCTCATTGGCGAGCCAATTTTCTCTGCCTTTGTTCTTCAAAGGAAGGCCACATTCAGGGTCTGCCTTGCATTTTTGCAGCTGCCTCCTTCCTCAATTGCTGGTATAATTAACTCACTCCGCTGGCTGCCTCGCTGCCAGGCCTCCACGCTGCCCTGACTTATCTGGAGCAGCTCTCAGCGGGAGGGGTGGGGTTTCCCGCCGCTGCCCCACTGGCCTCGCTTCAAGCAGCCGCACGCGTGCGTGGCCGTGGGACTCCGGGGAGGTTAACAGCCGTTGCGGTGTCACCACCGGCCATCTCGGAGACTGCCCTCTCGGCGGCCTGGTGCCATCCCAGGCGTCTTCGGTGGCCCCCGTGAAGGCCGGGTGGAGACCCCAGAGGACCTCCTCCGGAACACTCTGCGGTTCCTGCCATGCGGATCCCCCCAGCCCCGCTACAGACCTCTCCCACCTGGATTCTGCAGCATCTCCAGGTCATACCTGCTGCTGGCATTGATCCAGAGGCTACAGAGACTTTTCTGCCTTTGGGGGTCTGAGACACAGTCTCTGACCCCCTCATCCAGTCGGGCTCTGCAGACGAGCCTGGCACCAAGCTGTTCTTCAGAACAGACTTTTCTCATCACAGAACGTTGCCTCCATCGCAGGGGCCACGGCAAAGCCCCGGGAGCCAGCCTCTCCGGTGTGACCCTGGGGAAGGCAGGTGGCAGGTGCCTCGTGTGGAGGCGGCAGCAGCACTGTCAGGTCCAGGCACCGGTTTACACTGAGTTTACTGGACAGTGAAGCCCCCTTGTAGGTTGGACTTTGAACTGTGTTAGTCGGAGGGATCTCCGTCTTTTAACGGACGCCCCTCTCAGGGTCATGATATA